TATATATATATAAGAAGTTAAAATTGCAATCAATAACTGAACTGATATTTGAACAACTATATTAAACTCACTAAATAAGATCAATTTGCATAAAATTTTTTTATTTTATTTAAATGATACACACCCCAACACAACACCATAATACAAGAAGTACTCCAAAAAAATAAATAAATAACAATTAATTTGGGCGGAGGCCGAGTTTGAAATTAATAGATCGAAATTATAATCTCAAAAACTCGACATTCAAAACTACCCGTTTGGGGCAGCTTATAAGTATGGCGGCATTTTTAAAAATGCCGCCTAATTGTTTGTTTTGCGTGTTTTTTGAAAACGCTATCTGCCGCGATTGTGTTTTTTTCACTAAATGCAGGCCACGGGTCCGCCTCTGCGGTCGACCTGCGGGCCTCATTTGAGGATAAGCTACTTATCCTGAAACGCACAAGCTGCCCCAAACTTAGACTATTTAAGAAAGGCTGCCTTAAATAATAAAAAAAAATTTAATATTATCTTCAATCAATAGGTTTACGTATTGGAGCACTATTTATCATTTTCTCAGGCCGTTTATGTGTCCAAATCATAACATAATTTTTACTAGTCCGACACGGCTCCTAATTACGAATATTTAAGATCAAATCATTTTGTAGTCGAACCATACATAACTATTTATTCCCACATTAAAATTACTATAAAATACCAGGAAGATTTATCACATTCATGCTGCATGAATTCAATTCATTTTAAGAGTGTATTTTAAGAAAAACAATGGATTTTATTTACTTTATATAATTTTGAGAGAATTTATTAAATTTCATTTTAAGAGTGTCAACGAGTCGAGTCGATCTCGAGCCACTCTTAACTTGAGCTACGCTGAATTAATTAATCAAGTATAAGTTTGATTCTGATCTTAATTCTAGGAGTTTGAACCGTCTCAAAAGCCAATTTATTTATTATGAAAAGAAGAAAATAATATTAATTCCTTAAAAAAATGAAGAATTGAAAGAGTAATTACAACATAAATAATACAAAATCACTTGAAATTAAATATTGAATATAAATTTTAAAATATTTTAATAGTTTGTAGGTAAAACTTTGAATTTTAATATATTTTGAAGTTATTTAATATTAATTATTTTTAAAATAAGCCGACTCACGAGCTGACAAGTCGCCAAGGTTGGCTTGAGCCTCACGAGGTATTTATTGAGCTGACATCAAGCGGGCACTCAAGCCAACTTGATTTAGGGTGCGTTCGGGGCAGCTTCTGTTTATCCAGATAAGCCGCTTATCTGGAAATGAAGACCGCAACGTTCGACCCGCATTCCGTGTTTAGTGTAAAAACCCAAATGCGTTTTCGGATAAGCTGCTCAAAGACAGGTTCCAAACGATGAGACGACGTTTCAAAATGCCGCCGCAACGGATAAGTTGCCCAAAATAGAGCCTTTCTTGCATCGCTATTTTAAATCAACGAGAAAGTAAATGAATGCTACATGAAGAAATCACTTACATAAAATATCACCAACAGAGAAAACTCTGGCCTCCGGCCATGTAGCGAGATCAGCGCTAGTATCCCAGCCGGCGGTGTCTCCGACCAAGAACAAGGCCCCTTCACAAGATAACAGCAGCGTAAGACCAACTAACCCTGAGAGCAGCAGAGGTTTTGCCATTAATGCAGGTTGAAAGTTCTCAGTTATATTGAAAAGCCAATCACATATATATACTCACATTTTTTATGGTAGATTGATTGGTTTATATTAGCTTACCTAACTCTTCAAGCCGAAGAGAAGCTCAGATTCCTTAAAAACTGTATTTTAGTTGATATTGTATTATTTAGAGGTGGATTACAGGAGTGAATGAAGTGGAAGTTTTGAGCTGGTGGATGAGGTTGTTGGGCAGCGGTTTAACAGATCAATTGCTTTTTGTGCTAGCAGTTGATCGATCGAGAATTTTTTTTTTCTCCTTCTTTTTTATATTGTTTTGTTATGTGGTTGTTGGAAATTGAGTTTAACTAAGTGAAGATATGCTACGTATGATGATGGCAAGCTAAATAGTTTATAAGTTGTGTTTGTTTGGTGAAAAAGTAAAGTTATTTGTTAAAATGATGAACATAAAAGAAGAAATAGACATCTTGTTGGTTTTGTTTTTTTGTCCTATTACATATGACAACTGAGTGTTCATAGAGCCAATTTATAAAATTGGGATCTATGTAAATAGAAAACATTAAATAGATATATGAAACTAAATAAACTATTACAGTCAATTTCAATATGTTTGATCCGTTCGTGAAGATGAGATTTTCAGTGCTATAAATAGAGCTTAATTATCACAATGAACTAGATTTGATTGTGGATGGGTGAGACTAAAGTGTACGAGAATATATTTTTAACCATTGCAAATCAAATGTAAGTGGCACAGGATTGTGCTTTTGAAGTAGAACAAGATGGAAGGAGGAAACCAAACTTTTTTTGAAAGTAATAAAAACTTATTATGTCAAACTGTTCATTATAAAAAAAAAGTTTTGAGCAAAAAAAAGTTTTTGTTTCTATTTTCATTTTATAAACTACTAAGAAAGATTCAAATTTTAGAGTGGAGAATTGCCTAAGTTAGTGTCTTTCTAGTTCCTTCGACGAAATTGTTGGTTGTCTCTTGAAGCCAAGAAATAGAACTGGAACATGTGATGAAACGACAAGTTATGAGAAAATTGACCATTCAATGTCAAAACATTCAACCAACGTCATCAAAGAACTAGGAGCAAAAAAAATTGAACATCTGATATTAAAAAACTTGTCATATAATTATCATATAATATGTCCAAGTGTATATTTTCATTTATACAAAAGAATGCCTTCTTTAGAGCAAAATACTAAATGCCTGAGAAGTATCAAACATTAATTCTATTAACCTCATTTTTGATGAGATTGACGAACATTTGCCTAGCTCTCCTCTTAGCTGTTATGATCCAACCCCATAAATTTGTTTGAGAAGATAAAGGTCGATTAGAAATCATTATGTTCTCTTTTGGATATAAATGAAACTAAAAGCTTAAGATGAAATTTGAGCGCATTAAGGTCCATTTAAACCAAATGACATATTAAGGCGTATTAAGGTCCATTTAAACCAAACCTAAGTTTTACTTAGGAGAGTAAGTTTTAATTGGGCCAACATCATCCTTGATACACAAAAAATTCTTCTTGGGATTCTTAAGCTAACTTAAGCCTAAATTTAAACCCAATTAATTCTTAGATCATTTTAACTCAATTTGGCTAGGATGAACCAAAATTTAATCGAATTAAATTCAAAACAAATCAAACTTGTTTAAGAAGCAATTTACAACACCTCCTAGCCGTTGAACTAGAATCCATTTCCATTGGACTCTGATAAAGTTTGATTGAGCTTTACCCAACTTTGTCCCACTAGGTTTAGATCAGCCATCTTAGACCAAATCAACCCCAAACTGATCAATCACATTAAATCAACCAATAATTATGAATATAAGAAACTTACTTAAGTAGATCCAAACCATTTAGATCAGCAAAAATTTTTAAATAGCCTAGCCCAACTGAATTAAATACATCAATATGAAGCATAAGCCAAAGCATTGGACCACAAGGTTATGAATTTTTCTAAAGCCTTCTCTAACTCATCTCAAACTAGTAGATAGTCTAAAACTTGCCTTACGGCCTAAGGCTATGAATTGCTATTATTGTCACTACACGATTCAATCTGAACAACAACAGAGCTTGTTAAAAAAGTCCTTGAGCACCTCAGTGGTCATCTCCATCAAGCTCATATGTCAACTTTAATCTATGAAATTACCATTGCCATAGATGGACTAGCATTGGTTGATGAAATTCTTACAAACTAATGTCTTTCACTTGGCTCTTATATGCTCAAAACATACCTCATAATCCAAATAACCATCTGCATTCTATCCCCAACCCAATTACTCTTCCCTTTCCCACTCTAACACTAAGCTTTGACAAGCTCATTATGGATACTAATGGGTTTCAAATCTTGACATCCTTAGACTTTGGAGATTAAAGATGTGTTCATTAGATTAAGATGAAACCCCAGAACTATCAAATTGGCCTCAACATAGATGAACCTTCGTATTCATAAATGCTTCATATTTCATCTCGATCTGGTAATTTATGAAAATAAAACCTTGCTCTTATAGCAAATACATGATAAGATAGAAATCTTAGAGCTCTTAAATTATTTTTGGAGTAAACATTGCTAGAAAGCTCCACAGATCCATGGATTGAAGACATTTACATAGATGATTCCCATCTCTAGAAAGAGATTAAGGACAACATCAAAGTTACCCTTTCCTTTTATTTGAATAGTTTCCACTCACTAATCAAGATTAGAAAACAATCTATAGACTAAAACATGGTTTTGATGTAACCTATTTAATCTTGGATTGAGTGACCTAGTTAAATCCTAATTGGTCTTTGGTCCTCCTGATTTAATAAACAACCCCTAGAACAACTCCAAGTAGAAAACCACTAATTAAATAAATCAAATCTTTAAAATGCATGAAAATTATAATATCATAAAAAATTAAATAAAAATTTTAAAGAATATAAGGAAAAAAATGATATGTACTCAACAAACATAAGAGCATTAATGAAAATCATTATAAGTTCCAATTAAAAATAAATAATATTTAATTAAAGAATAAAATGATAATTAATTGAATAATTAAACACATAAATGTCTTCTATTTGACCTAAAATTTCTTACAGATGTTTCTTAGGTCATCGTTGGCCTTTAAAATTAATTTTAGAAAATTTCAAATTAAATATATGCGTTATTTAAATTTTAAATTAATTTTCATGTTAAGAAATTATATAAATTATTTAAATGTTCAAGAAAATGATAAAATAATTTAAGGTGCTCTTTGACACCATTTTTAGTCAATTTAGCTTGCAGGACTAATTACCATAAGGATTTAAATTCGTCAAAGCATAAAAGGAAGAAAATATGATAATGAATTATTTAAATAATTGTATTAATTGCCCTGAAGTTAATAAAATAAAATAAAAATTTGTGAAATAAAATATATTAAACCCCTTAATAATTTTAAAATAAAAAAATCAAAATAAATTAAATTTATATAGTTTTTTATTTTTATTATTTAATAAATTAAATAAATAATATTGATTAGAAATAATTTTAAGGTGTGCAACCTTTTAGGTATATGATATTATGAATTATAGGATCACCCTCAGGAGGGCCTCACCTGGTCACAACAATTTTTAAAACATATAAATAAGAAATAAAATAGTGGGACCTAACTAAAATGAACATTTTTTTTATTATTTTTATTATGAATACTTATTTGATGGTAAATTTATTTGTTTGAGTAAGATTAGACTAAAGGTGTCGATTCACTAGGATCTCTAGGAGATCATCTAGGGCTTATTAGGAAGTAGTCCTTAAGTCGATTTGTGAAGGCTATGGATTTGATAAATTTTTTCTCCCTCATTAAAAGTCTAATCAACAATATAATCATTTTTCTATTCAATCATAACCATTATTTTTATTTTTAGTACTATTGGTTGATTTTTCATGAATATATGTTTGATTTAATTTAGTATGTATATATAATTTTGGTTTTAAAAGTAACATTTTGATTTTGAAACATGTGACTAAATAGATCTTATATATTTAATAGTTTAAATAGTTGAACACAGTACCACAAGTAATACACCACTCCGAGAGATGGGCATATCACTTGTTAGTAGGCTCAATCATCTAAACTAATAAATTCATGACAACCATTAATATGCAAAATTTGTGACCGAAAATTCCCTTACCAAATATAAGGATTAGACAGGTTTTTGATTATTTGGGTTCCAAATTTTCTATAGAGGCAAGGCCTCATAGTTAATTACATCTTAGATAACTGAAATCGCTTAAGAAAACTCTCGATTAAAATTAGGGGTTTCATCTTCAAGAATTTGACGTATAATTTACAAGATTGTTTATAGAAAATTCAACTGGAAATTACTCAATGTTGAATAGTTATTTTGAAAATCAAAGGAGTAAAAATAGAGGATGTCATAGATCTCGAGGCGAGCCTCAATAATTTCACAAACAATTCAATTGTCTGGCATTATATTTTGGTAAAGATGCTAATTTGATGTTTACTCCCACAAATTATTTAAAGTTAGGACTTACATTTGCATAATATATGATCATGCAAATAACCTAGAAAGATAGGAGACGTCGTACTAAACAAACAACCTTGAAGTCTTAAAAAGAATTAGGACTTATATTGCACAACATGATCCTGCAAAAGCCTAATAAATAAAGGATTTATGTCGTACCAGACTTATAACCTCAAATTTCTATGGGTTTATGTTATTTGAGACTAAAGAAAATTCAATTTCTTCATTTTTTGTCATATGAAGTCGTCCTTTGTCTGCCTGCACCCTCGCCTTACTTCTCGGACAACTGCCTCCAAGCTCCTTACTTGTGATGCTTATGGGTTTAAGGTTTATGAGTGAACTTGTTGCTATGGTTGAGTCTTGAGGCTTGCTTTAGTGTTCCCCTTAGGCATATGGTCTATTGTTCTCTATTCTAAGGGCCTTTGCAGGTATATTAAATATTGCATAAGTAAAACATGTTGTAAAGTACGATAAAGAAAAGAAAAATGTATTAA